AAAACTTCACTACTCGTATCTTGTAAAACTCGGATTAGAAGAGTAAAAATAAAAGCGGTCAGATTAAATGACGTCTTTTTCAAGTTCAAAAAAAAGTTGCAGAATCATTTTTCAGTACTTTCCATTCTAAAGTTTCTGTAGTCTCTATCAAATATTTTCAATGATATTCATTTATATATTTTTGCACTAGACACTCCACCCTTTCTGACAAAAAAAAGATAAAATCTCTACGAGACTCTATTACAGTGCTGCATCAAAAACAAAATTAATGCAAAACTTTTGCCCTACCCGTTAGAAGGCCTTATCGATGTATACAGGATGAATCAAAAGTAACGAAACACAATATTTTTTTAAATTTCGTCTCTATACATGAATAATAAAATCTCTTATTTATAATACATATGCTAGGTAATGGTAGACAGAAGCATAGCATATCATTGGTCTCTGGGCTCAAGGGTTTGTTCCAAAGAGACATCGGTTTATCTTATGTATTCCTGTGTGACTAGAATAAGAATTATTGCTTTCTTGTAGAATTTGATAACCACTTTTCGTCTGACTGTATCAATTTTCAGCCAAAAACATATTTGTATTATTTTTTTTCATTGTTTTATCTTAAAGAGATTCAGAAAAGAATATAACTATTCAATTTATTCTTCAAATTGTGTCAATCAAACAAAATAATCGAAAATAAAATTCGACCAAAAATAGTCAATTTTTCCACAGTCACAAAAGAGTATACAATATATATTGATGCGCTTTTGAAATAAACTATTGAGCCTCGGAACTGATAACATGTTACACATGTTACTATCACTACCTAGTAAATATGATATAAATAAGAGGTTTTATTATTCATGCATAGAGACGAAATCAAAAAAATATTGTGTTTCCTTATTTTTAACCCATTCTGTATATAAATAGAATGAAATTCATTTGGAAAATTGAAAAATTCTTCCTATGGGAGAAAATATTCATCAAAAAAATTTTGTTAGATGCTATTAAATTTTCAAAAAATTTTCCCAATGTTACTAAATTTTCAGAAATTTCCCCGAACGATCGTTCGCTCACACGGATAGATCCTGCATGTCTGCCTTATACCCTTGTCCCCTTATTCTCTTATCCTCTATCCTCTATATCCTTATCCTTTTATCCCTTTACAGCACTATCCCCTTATCGCCTTATACCCTTATCCCCTTATAGGCTTATGGCCTTTGACCCAGCACAGACACACACATATTGAACATTATATATAGATTATTGAAAATGTATTTCAATGTTCGGATGTCCCTCAAAAAAATAACGGTGACCCATAATAAATAGCAGAACTTTGCATTTCATATTTTAATCTCTTAAAACGTTTTATTAAAACAAAATATATCACAAGATCCAACATGCAATGCTCTACAATTTACAAAGAGTATATTTTATTTCTATACTTTTTATTTTCAAAAAACATCAAAATTCTGTAAGGTCAGTTTTCGAAAGGACGAAAATTGATCGCACGGAATTTTAGTTTTTTTTTTTGACAATAAACAGTACATAATTAAGGTCACTCGCCCTCAAAAAGTGTCAGTTTTTGCCAAAATCGTCGAAATTGAGATAAATGCATGGAAAGATAGCTCGTCTTCTGTTCTTCCAGAAACGCTATTGTTTTTTCTTCGACACCTGCTTTTTGTCCAAAATTTTCGATGATTTTCCTTAACCTCTTCTTGAAAAATATGCTTATTTAAAAAAAAAATGTTTTTCGTTTTTTTCTCAGCTTATGCTTTCTTGACTGCACAACCCATTATTCTCTATCCGAGCTCTGTCAAAATATTTATATATATATATATATATACTTTTTTTTGTTTGAAAGAGCACATAAGACGCAGTGCCCACCAGAGTCCTTGTTGTAAACTAAGCTTATTTTTTATTATTCGCTTAAAAAGTAACAATCTAAAAAAAGAGCGCTGGTAGGCACTGCATCTTGAAATGCTCTTTCAAACAAAAAAAAAAAATTAAATATATTGAAAGTGCCTGACCAGAGAAAAATGGATTGCCAAATAACCTGTTTTTGATCCTTGTTTAGTGTATATCTCTGTCAAATGTCATGGTATCGAGCTGAAAAGTTTACCATAGCCTCCTCACTTCAGCTCCAACATATCCTCCAAATTTCAGCTCATTTGAACGTACCGAGGTTGAGATCGATTTTGGAGGGGAGGGGGGGGGGGATGGTCTTATAAAATCAACTTTACTCTGTAGATTGTAGAACTTTGCATGCTGCATCTTGTGATATATTTTCTTTTTTTCTAATAAAACGTTTTTAGAGATTAAAATATGAAATACAAAGTTCTATCATTTATTATGGGCCACCCATTAGTATAATGATCTGATATGCATGAACTGATTAATAACAGAATGAAAAAGAAAGCAATGAAGCTTATAGATTCATAAAAATTAAGTACATTCCACTGGAATGATTTTTTCTTTTGTTTATTTATACTAATTGCATTACATCGTGTTTAAAACAGATAAGGTAAATTTTTTAGATAAATAATTTTATTTAACAAAGAAATTTGACATTAGTTAGCAGTATTCATATCGTAGATATTTCTATGTCAACTAAGGATACATTGAATTTTATTTCACAACAAATCCATATTTATTATGGTTTGTCTATCGTAATCCTTGGAGTTATTGGTGGAATATTCAATATTATTATTTTTACAACACTGAAAATATTTCGAGAAACAACATGTGCATTTTATTTGATCATTGTTTCAATAGTCAATATTGGTCAATTATTAATTGCATTATTTGTACGTGTCCTTAGTGAAGGTTTTAAAACGGATATTAGAAGCATATCATGGGTTTGCAAAGTTCAAATAGCTATGGCAGGATGGTGTAACGCGATTTTATTTACAGGATTGTGTTTGGCAACCATTGATCAATACCTATCTATGAGTAAATATCGACATTTTAGTAACCTACGGTCGGCTCAACGTAATATTCTACTTACTTGCATTTTTTGGAGTATATATTGCATTTTGTTTCTCATTTACTGGGATACAACCTTTGGTACATGTACAGTTATTAATTCGCGTTTTGCAATATATGTAACTCGTTTTCAATATCCAATTCTGTTTGGATTTTTCCCTTTAACTACAATGATTACATTTTCTTTACTGGCTTTTTATAGTGCTCGTACATTAGTCAGTCGACAAGTGAATATTGTGCGTTTAAGTCGAGATAGACAATTAACAGCAATGGCACTTATTCATGTTCTATTTGTTGTAATAACAACATTACCTCATGTGATTTACTTTACATATTCATTGAATCAAGTTAGTAAAGATCCTGAACAAATAGCACGTAATAATCTTATCTTCTCAATTACAGTTTTAATCGATTATTCAAGTTATGCTGTAAGTATTTTATTTACAAAAAGCAGAAAAATCACTTTTGCCGTTTTTTTAAATGATAGCACTCTTTCTATGTCTATTGTTGTGTTTCTCAACGATTTCGAAAACAATTCGTCTATGTACTTGACAAGATTTTTATCACACGATGCCGAAAATGGGTAAACGAACGAAACAATAATAATCAAATTGTACCAAGTATAGAAGCAATAGTTGATGGCCAACCTGCTAGAACACAAAGAAACTCCATTGAAATTGTTTCAATTGAGTAAATAAAAAAAATGATTATTTATATTTGTATTAATGATTATCACGTGAAATTTGATTTCAAATTTCACAATAAGAATGTTCTTCTTTGTTCTCATCTATGTTTTTTCTTGGATTTTGTATGTGTATTTATCAGTATGTGAATAATCATTCACTTCTACAAAATAAATGTTTGTTATTGTAATGTACAGTGATGCTTTGAAATGAGAATTATATCTAATGAGTCTACAATGGAACAACCTTATCTTTGAAATTTCTATTATTTTATTCTCTACTCTATTATGAATATAAATAAATATAAAAAGATATTTAAGAACTATACTCTTGAATAATTAAAGAAGCTAATATTGTGATTATTTCTAGCAAATAGTTCTTTGCAACACCTTAAATCAGCAGAAATTTATATCTTTCTGGCTATAAAAGCAAAAATTCTCATTGTATTTCCTATTACTATGATTGATTTATTCAAATTATAAACAGTAGTGATGGAAAGTATTGAACCAAGTAAAGTGTAGAAGATGTAAAAATCGAACAGAAACTTTTTTCATTCATTTATATATAGTTTGATAGAGTTTGACGAACTGGTCACAAAATTATAATTTTTATTTCGATTCGAGTACTGTTTGACTGGAAAGAACGGTCAAAACTCGAATGACTGAAAATATAGTATTGACAATTATGAACTTGGTTTTTTACAGTAATCATCGTCTTTTAATTAGATTTACTGTGTTATATTTTTTGAAAATATTATATTTCGAATCAGCATGAAAAACTAAGCATAAAAATGTTATTCGATTAGGTTTTGAATTAATAAAGTTAAAAAGACCCTGCTTAACATAGAGAGCTTCAACGTACCTGATAGTGCATATTTTGTGAGTATTCTTAAGAGGGGATTCACGAGTCTATCGAGAATACTGTCGTAGAGGCGTCATATAGTCAAATTTCAAATTCAAATTTGATTATGCTCATTCGATAGTTCGTGTCGAGAAACCTATTTATCCAAAATTTTAGACCAAACAAATGCTATCTTGTTAAGATATGGGATTTTTAAAAAGTGAGCTTTTTTGCGATTTTTCCAAAAATTCGGCAGCTCGTATTTCGCTTGTTTCTCGCCCATTTTACAATGACTTTCTTTTGCGCAACATTTCATCCGAAAGGGAAAATAAAACTGAACAAGTTGAAATACTTTTCACGTTTAAACAATGACACTTATAGTTTTTATAGTTTAAAAGGTTTCAAAACTCCTATTTGGAAAAACTGAATTTTGAGGGTTTCCGAGGACACTTCAATAGTAAACTGTGTCTCCTTAAACATTTTATTATCCTATATTGTAGAGAATTCATTTTTCTACAAGATGCACTAATGTTTGGATTTCTAGAAGATCAGCAAGGCGACCAAAAATTCGAAATACTATTCATGACAATGAAAAAGTATGTCCAAATTCGACCAAAATTCGACTGTTTGACCATCAAAAGCGTGTGGGTGTAGGTGTAGGTGAATACAGAAAATATTACTACCCTCATCCTCACCCTACATCCATCCTAATTTGATTCGATCAAGAATCCGGGCTTTGTGTCACTTACCAGAGAGCGCACTCAAGACGACTTTTGTGAAAGATTCCATCAATAGCTATACGTGCGTGGTAAATACTACTCTCTTATATCTAACCTTTTATTTTCTCAATTGCAAAAAGAAAAGAAGCAATATTTTAGGAACAGCCAGCATAAATATGTGTGCATGTTGGCTTTTTCCATCATGAGTCATTTTGTTCGTCGAGTATTTACATTACAAGTGTTGCTTTGCTTTTTTATTTTTGTTATTTCATCATAACAATGTAATCGTAGTGCAGTAAGATAAACGTGCAACCGTTAACTTTTTATCCAAAAAACTGCTATGATTATTTTGACTGTCGATGCAGAGTTGTCAGACGAGCGACGACAACTAATAAAAAGAAAGTTCTTTTCATCGATGACTTTTCCAATAGGAAAATCTGCTGTTGAGTGATATATCTAAGCCGAATTGATCAACATCCGATTAACAACATAGAAATCGATTACAGAACGATCCTTATGCAGTATCTATGCATGTCAAAGCACCGATGGAGTAGGTTATGAAGTGAGACTTCTTTAAGAAAGTATGTTGGACGAAAAAAGTCACTGTTCCATTTCGTTTTGTAGCATCGATCAATCATGATTGTATTCATTAGCCTAGTATTTCGTTGTAATCCGTCATTGTATGAATCTATCTTGCCTTTCTCATGAATTCTATTCAGATTACGTTGAATGCTTTTCAGAGATTCTTCGTGATTTGAAAAGACGTCGACTTACATTGATAGCTGACAAAGAGTTAAAGAGATTTTGTTTGTGTTCGGAGTGCGTTTTAAAAGACACTTTCTAGATTTGATCTGAAATTAGGCATTGCCGTCTTTACTGCGTCCCTTATCGATTGCCAAAGTTCTATGCCAGCACTGATTAAAATCAATTACAAAGTTCGACACAAGAACACGATAATCGTAGAGATCAAAGATACTGCAGAACTAATTTGAGACAGATATGTTGTCTTGTTGAAAATCGGAACCACATTTTGATGGGGAATAAGGAGGTTGGTTATCATGGCTGTTGGTTTACTTGCATAAATATTGTGTAAAGTGACATCTTTTTTCGTTCTTTCTCTTTCACTTGCACTTTTTCCTAATGATTTATTTTTTGCGATCTTTATTGACATAAAAAGATGAAAAGAATACTGTTTTTTTTTTCTATTCTCTTTTTTCTTTTTTTGATTTCTCAACACACACCATTATCAAACGCATATTCAACACATGGCAACAACGACAACTAACAGAAATCTCTGTGAGACATGTCGAAAAGTAAAAGGAGTATCGAAATGTGAAGGTTGTTCGAAAACCTTTTGTTATAATCATTTCGTTGATCATCGTCAACAGTTAAATAAACAATTAGATGAAGTTGAAGTAACTCGTGATCTCTTTCGACAAACACTAAGTGAACAAGCATCAGAATCACAAAATGACATTTTATTACAACAAATTAATGATTGGGAACGTAATTCAATTGATAAAATTCGACAAACAGCAGATGAAGCAAGAAAACTATTACTAAAATATACAGCTAAACATATTACTGGTATAGAAATTGAGTTGAATAAATTAACTGATCAATTGAGACAAAATCGTCAAGATAATGATTTTGTTGAAACAGACTTATATCGATGGAAAAATCAACTTATTCAGCTAACTGATGAACTTAACAAACTATCAAAGATGACAATTCGACAAAGTTCAAGATCACTTATAAACAAAATTTATGTTGACATATCAACTAGTAAGTGTTGTTGATATCTATAATTCTATTAAAGATAGTGAAATTATCTTGGAACGATTCGCATTTTGAAATTTATCTTAATAACAATTGTATCTTATTGATAAAACTTTGGAAGTCTTTAATCCTCACATAAAACTATATTGAATGCAATACAGGATTTGAATAGACTTCTTTTTTCTTAAAATGAATTTGATGTATAAAACAACAGAATTGAAAAAAAATACTACTTATAACGAAATGATTCTTATGAGTTGAATCATTGAAACCAATATAGTCATAGTATGTCACTTAAAATCTATCTAAAAAAGTCTTATTGAATGATTATATTTGACTAAAATATCAACTAAGTAAATTCTTACACTGCATCTATTTCTGTTTAAAGCTACTCAAACAATTTTTCATAGTGTGTAGTAATCGAGAAAATGAAGTCCTTTTATTTTACTCTGATTAATCAAGTTATTATCTTTTGATATTTCAATTCGTTTTCAACTTATCAGAATTTCGAAAAGAATCAAACAATTACAGAAACAATAATAATGTGGAAGTTGAAATAATTTTCTTTCCATGAAAATTTACCAAGCTATACTGTACTTTTTATAAGCTAAAAGTGGATGTAACTTTTTCGAAGAATTTATTTGAAAAGAATTGAGAAAAACATAAAT